GTAAGCCGCTTACCTGGGTAAAACTCTTCATCCTTCTCATCGCTCTTACCAGGTAATATTCTTGGCCCTTCTCATGTTCATCCGATGAAGAAATTTATGCGTTAAGCACTTACCAAGTAAGTGTTTAGTAAACGGCCCATTAGTTTGCAATCCACAAGCCCCCCACGGAATTGTTCCCTTCCGTTATCTTCTATTTGAAAACTCAAATTTACATTCCAATGAATAAAATCTCGATTGGATTTGTGTCTCAGCTATCTTATTCAAATAATACATATTTTAGAACATAAATTATATATAAAAAGAAATCAAAAATCATATTGGAATTTTTGACCAAGTCTACTTTTAATTTTTTAATAAGTTTAATGAGCATGATAATGTATTTGTTTCATTATTAAGCAACACTTGTTTTTAGAGAAAAAAAAACCATTTTCAGGGATCAAATTCATTCTTAGCCATTTTTTCTAAATATTTTCAAAATATTGCTACCTCAATAACTGACACTTTTCACACCAATGGAACCCTCCAATAAGTCTGTTGAAATCATCTCTGTATCAATGAAGACTTGCGGATGAGCTAAAAGACAAACAAAATCCACTTTTCAACCACCTCTGCAAGTAACATCTCCATAAGCGGGTGAAAGTAATCCTTTTTTGTACTTTAACTCCTCCGCAAATCACGGAGATGCCACTTGCAGAGATAGTGATATTTTTGAAAGTTCCTGATATTCGAACATCTTATTTAAAATAGATTTTAATTACAAATTGTGGTATAAAATAACACAATGAGGTGTTAGCCTTGCCTTGGAGTTAGGGCATGTGGCACTTAAATGCCCTTCATAAATTTGGCCTACACAAATCAAGGGCCAACAATAGAGAAAGACTCTACTCACATTCACACTTTCCTTCACCACAAGGCAATTCTTATTACTTCCATGAAAATGATGGCCAAAAAGATGGGTCATCCTCATGCATTCATATCATACTTTGACTTCGACTCCAAATAATCAATATTTTTTTAAATCTGGTTTTCTGAAACTTCGGAAGAATCTGAAAAAGATATCGTTCATGAAACAATCCGGTTCGACTTCAAGAAACTATGTATTTTCCTGCATAAACAGTTGATTGGTTTTAATGTGTTATTTTCAACTTTGCCTTGAATTGTAATAAAAAATGTTCATTGGATTTAGTGATGGCCAAATCGGTCCGGGACCGGCAAAGGATCACCCCGGCCCGGGATCGGTAAGGACCGGTTGGGGTTTTCGGTAGTTTCGTGGGACCGAGACCGACCAGGACCAGTTATGGGACCGGCTATGGACAAGTCTGGCCTGAAAATTTAAATAATTTTATAAGTAAATGTATTTTTATAAGACAATTTAATTTTAATTATATTAAAACGCATTTTTGAAGTGTATTTGAGTGACCCAATTGTAAATTTTATAATGTAGTAAAAATATATATTATTAAAAAAACTAAAAAAAAATCTTATTTTTTAATGCCGGGACCGGGACTGGCGGTCCATAATCGGTTATGAAGTACCTTGACCGGTCTTACCATTTTCGACCGGGACTGATTATGGTCGGTTATGAAAAAGTTTGAGACCAGTTTTTAGCCATCACTAATTGCATCCATAAAAGAAAATTCAAAATTCAAAATCAATGTAAGAATACAAAGCATAATGTAACATATACAAGTGTTTTAAATTGCTGATACTTTACGGAAAAAACAACGGATTCAAAACTAATTATTTTAAGTAGTTTTGTTACCAATTTTGATGAAATTGGTAACAGTAAGTTTCATTAATTATCTAATAATTAAATCAGAAACAAAGTCAACGTGGTTTGTTCGATAATCCTACTTTCTTGGAGATCTGAGATTCAAATCTCACAAAGGATAAGAAACGTAAATTTTAATTTATTATATATTAGAAAAGTACTCGAGCAATACAACGAGATAAATCTCGATTTTAATGTTTAGTTTTTATTCTTTGTTTATATGATATAAAACGATTTTATGTGGTTTTGAGAAAGCAGAAATGTATTAATTTTTTGATTGAAATATAATTTTGAAGATAGCATAAAAATTTGAAAAAATAAATAAATCGATGTTAGTATTAAATTATCAATTTTTTGGTGTAATTTATTTAATTCAATTTTGATTATAATTTAATTTATATTTAATAACAAAGTAATTTATTTTTAGTTTAATAATATAATTTTTTTTTATAAAAATAATAATTAAATATTTTGTTAAAACTCACTGATTATCTTAATTATATTTTAGATTTTTTATATTTAAAATAAATATTTATCCTGTATTTGATTATGTTTATCTGCAGTTAGTTACACGAATTTAAAAATGGAGCTTTAATAAGTTGTACTTACTCAAAATTACTTGTAATCTTGAATTTTAACTAATATGCATCAATAAACAATATACTTCATGCATAAAAAAATAATTTTTAAGAGTTTTTGACAAATATTTTGTAATATAATATAGATAAATGTATTCAATTTTTTTATAGAAAATATTAGATTTAAAATTATGAAATGAACTATATTACATGTAACTTCTTCTTTCACTTTTTCTTTTTAGTGGAAAAAGTAAAAACAAAAGATCACGTGCCTTCCAACTTTGAGGCACATGGGAAGGTGCCTCATTTCACATAAAATCAAAAGTAACTCTTTTTTGGGTGTAATATTATGGACCTCGATATGTAGAAGTATTGACATTTAGATTAACTCGAGAGAGAAATGGTTAGAAAATCAATTTAAATGAAGAAAATGGTCATTTAACTGACAACATAAACCAGAAAGATTTGTAGAAATGATATGTTGAAAAATCGAAGGACGTAATTTATGTCAATAAAAAGAAGAGGGGTGGGTAAGATGCATGAATCGAGGTCGGTTCCTTTTTCGAATAAAATGTCATCATCACTTGTAAAATTATGTCCACTTTTTAGGTTCTTGCTTCACAAGGAGTAAAAGAATATCATAAATAGTATGCATCCATTTATCACATTTTACCATCAATTAATAATGAAATATAACAATCATATGTTTGTTATAAGTCACAAATTACATAAATAAAAAACTATTTTTTATTTAAAAAAATATTTTTAAAAGATATTTTAATGGTTAGGAAAAGATTCCGTTTAGGAACAACAAATATTTTGGAAATCTGTTAACTAATTCAGATCTTCCATCTTGTTTGATCCAACAATCGTAATCAGATGCACATTTTTATTATAAGATAATAAGGAAGGTCCTTAATTAATTCTAGTCATTTACTAATATCAAATCTCATATTCATGTTTTCAGTTGATTTTATTCAGTCCCTATCAAAACTAAAGATAGGATTTTAGTGAAAATTGCAGCAACTTATATCGATTGGGTGATTTTATACGATGGAACCAGATCGATATGATCATGGGAAAAACAGTACAAATTGATGTACGAGCAAGAATATTTCATCATTTAATCCTAATTATAATATATAATAATTTGATAGCGAGGATGATGCAGAGAAAAGATTGAGGAAAAGCTCCAACATAGCGATATATACTTCAGTTAACAAGTTTCATAAAATATTGACCCTGTAGTAGTAAAGAAAGGGGATGAATAGAATAAAAATGGGAGAAAGCCGAAGAGGAAGCAGAAGGATGTTGATACAACATATTTTCGTACTAATTTCATATTCATTATGAATATCATATTTTTTACAATATTAATTTCATATTCATGATGAATATCATGTTGTTTACAATATTAATTTCATAGTCATGATGAATATCATAATATTCGGATGTTGTTGTATTAAGTTCATATTCATCATGAATACTTCTTCATTCATGATGAATATCATAATATTTTCATTGTATTCAAGGACATGAACATGATGTATTACTATATTAATTAATTCCATTTCATGATAAATATCATAGGATGATGGTACGATGGTGTATTGTGAAATATTAAAGTTGAAAAATGGTTTATTCAGTAAGTTTTTAAAGGAGACTTTATTCAGAAAGCCATTTTTTTCCCCAAACATGTCATTCATAATTAAAAAACATGGTCCTTTCATCTAAGAAAAAGCCCTCCCCAACAAAATCTTTTCCAAATTATACAAATTAACAAATTAATCCACACATACAACTTTATCCATACAGAATCTAATAGAAAACCAATTAAATAGCCCCTATGTCTTGTATGGTTAAGCTGTTTGTATGAATTAAACTATTTGTTTGTTGTGTTGAATAAACTGCCTGAATAATTTATGAGACCATTTTACCCATGGAAAATTTTTTCCCGTAAATGACTACAACAATTAAATTTTGCAATTAATCCCTCAAAATAAGCAGCATGATCGATCTCATACATCAATCAAAATTGGTTTTAAACAACATAAATTAATCTCATTCCTCACCAATTAATCCCCAAAACAACAAGCACCCAAAAGCATGGTGTTTTTCAAGCATCATACAACAATCATAGAGAAGCAGAAATAGATCGAGGTTGAGAATAAAAAGCAAATCGTGGAGGAAGAAGAGGAGTCAAGGGCGGTGATGAATAATTAAGGAGGAACTGTATTCTTCAAGGATAAATAGTGATAGAAAGATATTGGCTTAATGGATTAAACTCTTTCTATCAAGCTGAGTGAATAAGTCAGTCTTAGATTTAATGAGCCAGAATCTCAAACAATTATATATTCTTACCGAATAAGCCATATAAATCATACAACCTATTAACCTATTACCGAATAAGCCCTAACCTTTACACATTTAGGTTTTATGCTATTTTTGGGTGCTTGAAATTAAATTGCCACTGAATTGAGAAGAATAAAAGAAGGTTCAAAGTATTAGGTGGTGGAATTGTCTAAAAGAGCCATGTCTGCCATTCCAAGACAGGCTAGGGGCAATTTAGTCAAACACTATATTTCTAGGTGTTGGTGAGAATACCTTTACCTTATTTTAGAAGCAAGCAACACTTGGTAAGACTTGGGATCTCCAAATATTTCCATCGGTGCGTGTCTCCATTCACCGCCACTGTCACCGGAAAAATGCCTTCCGGCGACGATGGCTCCACCCTCACCTTCCTCAAGAGAGAACTCGAAGCTTCGTTGGTCAAGATCGATTCGTTGGAGAAAGAAAACCATGAACTAAAACAAGAAATGGCTAGTCTTAAGGCACAAGTTAACACACTAAAAGCCCATGATCTCGAAAGGAAATCGGTGCTATGGAGGAAGTTACAGAATTCTATGGATTGCGGAAAGGTTGCAAACGAATCACCACAAAAACCAAAGCTTCATGTTGAGGTACCAGAGGCAGTACTACCATCAAAGAAATCAAGTTCAAACCATACTACAGAAGACAATGCGATGATGAATCTACCAAAACCACCACCTTCGCCGCCACAGTGGCTGCAAAAGAGGGTAATGGCGCCACCACCGCCACCGCCACCACTACCGTCTACTCCAGTTGGATCAAGGGCGGTGAGACGTGTGCCAGCAGTGATGGAATTCTATCGCTCATTAATGAAGAGAGACACCCAGAAAGAGAACAAAAATGGAGCCACCGGGTTCCTCCCGGTGATGAATTGCCGGGACATGATCGGAGAGATCGAGAACCGATCGACTTACCTTACCTCTGTAAGCTTAAAAACTCAACACTCTTGTGCTGTTAATTCTTGTATGTTTTACTTAATTAAAGACCCATGATCACTCGATGAAGCTGCTTCTTCCAACAACCAAAATCTTTCTTTGACAGATAAAATCCGACGTCGAGAAATACGGTCAAAGACTTAACTTTTTGATAAGGGAAGTCCAGGGTGCAGCATTTACGGAGATTTCAGATGTGGAGGCATTCGTGAAGTGGGTAGATGGCGAATTATCGTGTCTTGTTGACGAAAGGGCTGTTCTAAAGCACTTCCCGCAATGGCCAGAACGAAAAGCCGATGCATTACGTGAAGCTGCTTTCAGCTATCGAGATCTTAAGAGTCTTGAGTCTGAAGTTTTAGCATTCAAAAACAGTCCAAAGCAACCATTGGTTCAATTACTAAGAAAGTTGCAAGCACTGCAAGACAGGCAAGTACGTAGCAGCTAGCATATACATACATATATATATATATATATATGTTGTAAATATCCAATTACTGATGACAGAAACCGATTATATATATGTATATATTATGGTTGTTCAGACTGGAGTCGAGCATTAGCAGTTTGGAAAGAACGAGAGAAGGAACAAGTACGAGATACAAAGAGCTACAAATTCCATGGAAATGGCTGATGGATACAGGAGTAGTTGGTCAGGTAGGTGCAAATTAATCAATATCTGCTTTAATTTATTAAGAAGCAAGGGGTCGAATCTAGCTTTATTAATGATATATATATATATATATATATACGTATACTTAATTAACAAGAGACGAGAACGTACAAAAGCTACTTTATATGCTTAATTTCTTCATCGTAAAGCCTGAATTACAAGGGATTTCTGGTGACAGATTAAACTAAGCTCTCTGACACTGGCAAGAGAATGTATGAGAAGAATATCAACAGAATTAGAATGCAACGCATCTTCACGAGACGGCGATCTCTTACTGCAGGGCGTTCGATTTGCTTTCCGAGTTCACCAGGTAAACACAACCTTTATATATATATATATATATATATATATATATATATATATATAGATTCTGAGAAACTGTATACATATAGCTAACGCAAAAGGGAAAATGGATTCCAGTTTGCAGGAGGGTTTGACACAGACACCATGCATGCATTTGAAGAATTAAAGGAGATTGGAACCAGCATCTACAACAAGCAGCAGATGAGTTGAAAATGGGCATGGATGATCTGGGAAGACATGATTACTGTTCTAATTTAATTCTGGGCCTATATATATATATATGTGTATATGTATATGGTGGAAAATGTGAAGTCAGACATGAATGCATGCATATGGATGGATCCCCTATATATATATCTAGCTACCTTCAATTCCTTGAGATGAGAATTAATGGAGATGAAAGGTAACCTTGTTTGGGTATCTGTTAATGGAACTCCATAGGTGATTAGAGCTTGTATCTCCATGGATAAGCAGAATTCCAGGAGGTGAATTTTTTTTGATCAAATATTCAAGAGTTTTGTTCCTGATCTCATGCTGACATCATCAATTTTACGTCTCTCTCTCTCGCACACCAACTACTGATTTAATGCATTCATACCTTATAAAATTAAAGTCTCAACCGTGGAATCTAAGTACTGCTACATATCTTTTTTAAGTTCATCACAAAAATTTTATAACATGATCCCATCTTATTTTATATTTATTACTTTCACCTTTATATTACTAATTTACTTTGTTTCAAAATAAGTGTTTATTTTTAAAAATAAATACTCTTTTTAAAATCAACTGTAACAATATTTTTTAATTTTATCTTTAATTATGAGATGAAGAAAATTTCTCCTTTTAAAATTAAGGGTAAAATTGTCTTTTTGTTAATTAAAAAAATGTAATAATTAGATATTCTTAAACTCATGTGTATTTTTTTCTTAAAGGTGTTTGAGATTGCTTATTAATTTATTCCGATGTTGTACTGATAATAAAAAGTTTTTTGTATTTGGATGGAGAAAAAAAATATGTATACCGGTTTGATAGAGGTAATAATAAGTTTTTGATAAGTTACTCTAACTTATTAACTCATTTCGATATGGTACCAGTAATAAGAAATTTTTAATGTTTGGATGAAAAAAAGGAATACTTATCAATTTATTACGTACTGGTACCGGTCATAAACTAATCCAAACATTTTTTATAAAACTCTGATTTAACATCATATAAGTTAGATAAATATTTTTACTAAAAACATAAGTTGTTTAAATAAGCAATTTGAAACACTCCCTTAGTCTAGTTGTTTCTTTTATATATGAATAAGGCTACGCACATATAATTTTTCCGTTTTATTATTTATTTAAGGTTTATAGAATTTTTTTGTAATAGTTAATTATTAACAAAATATAATAATTATTATACATAAAATACAAATCAAACACCTCCTCTCTCCTACAAACACCATATCAACATATAATACACATTATACACACTGTGATATCTAAAAACTTCTAACAATAAGACACAAATACAATATGATACCTAGTATGACCACTGAACCCGTTGTGATATACATTGTGATATCCAAGAACTTTAATACATAAATTCATTGTGATACTAATGTGATACCCACTGTGATACCACTTTATTACACCCAAACCATAATATCAAAAACAAACCCACAATCAAAATCCAAAATTCAAATTCAAATTCAATCCAAGCCAAAATAAAAATAAATATAAAACCCATCCAAGATGAACAAATTTACAAATTCCCGACAATATTTGTGTTAAATCTCAGGCGTGATCTGGGTTAAGGCTCCGATCAAAAATTAGATCTGTGTAGAAACTAGAAACCGAAATCGATCTAGGTGTGCATAAACCAGATATATGCAGAAACTAGAAACAAAAACCATATATGGGTTATCTTCCTTAGAGTTGACCATCTTCCTCAACACCACCGTCTTCCTCCCCGTCCCCATCTTCCTAAGTGCCGTTGTCTTCCTCCTCGTCTTCCTCAACGTTGCTCGTCTTCCTCAAACCCCGTTGTCGTCTTCCTTCCCGTCCCCATATTCCTCAGTGCCGCTGTCTTCCTCCTTGTCTTCCTCAAACCCCGTCGTCGTCTTCCTCCCTGTCCGCATATTCCTCAGTGCGGCTGTCTTCCTCCTCGTCTTCTTTAGTGTTGCTCGTCTTCTGCAACCCCTGTCTTCCTCAATACCGCCGTCTTCCTCCTCGTCGCCGTCTTCCTTAGTGTCGCTGTCTTCCTCCTCCTCCTCGTCTTTCTCCTTGTTGCCGCTCCCATCACCAAGAATATGTAGATTGTATGAGACATTTTTAGGAGAAATGTGGGAGTAGAAAGTGAGAGAAAAGGAGAATTATTGGTTATTTGATGAGTTGTCAATTTCTTTTACTAAATTACCCTTTTTCATTGTTTAAAACATACTAATAATTATCTTAAATGATTGGTCCATATTGGATTTCACGATTACCACAAGATAAACAGTTCTCATTTGATTATGATATATATATATATATATATATATATATATATATATTCTTCCTTTAAAATAAAACATATAAAAAGACTAAATGATTACTCTTTATATTAAAAATTGAATGATAAAACGTTTTAATATGGAGAACATACACATGGTAATAAATTATTAAGTTATTGAGTAAAAAGCAAAACAAAAACCTTAAAACATTATCTAAGTTATTATAAAAATAAGTAACAAACAAGCATATGATATGTAACTATGTAAGCCTAAAACCACAAAAAACAAAAATGGAATTGGGTTTGATCCAGACCCGTTTAGAATGAGTTTGGGCCACATGACCCATTTCATTTCAACCCTTAAAACTAGCTTTCCTTTGCATGCATTGCAATTTGCACCCGAGTTGATAACTATAGATTTTCCACAATTTCAAGGGTTCTTATTTTCCAAATGAATTTTCATTCTTTTATTTTAATTTCAAATAAAAATTTTGGTTTGTGGAAGACTAAATCTATTATGTTATATAGAACTAAATTGAAAAAAAGTCTAAAAAACCCCAATGAATTTTAGTGTTTGAAATAATTAAGTACTTGAATAATTTTTTAAAACAAATAAGTCCTTGGACATTACAACCTGTTAGATATATTCTTATGACTTATACAATTGGTTAATATAGTGAAATAATGATAAAAATTTGAAAAAAACCCCAATAAACTTTCATATTTTGAACGATTATGTCTCTAAACATTTGGTATAAACTTTCTTTTTGAACAAATAAGTCTCAAAGGGCTCCATTTGGTATACACTTTCCTTTCTCTTCTCGTGAAACTTTCTTTTCTTTTCTTCAACATCCATTTTTACACATAAATACCCACTGAAACACAATATACAAGTATTGTATGCATGTTTTGAATTCTTTAAAAGCTTTTGACCCTTTTTGTCTTCACAAGATACTAAAATTTTTGGTTGCTTTCACCTTTTTGGTCTAACTCTATCGATGCTCTGCCCCCAATACCATTTACCTTCCTCTTTTACTTTTTGTTTGAATTTCAAAATTCAAATGGAAGAACTAGCTTGTCATTATTTTATAGTCTTCTGGTGATTCTTGTCCCATTTCAATTTTGCTTATCCAGTACATTGTATGGATACACTGCTAGTATTAATATAGATATACTATATATATATATATATAGTATATATATATATATATATATATTTGCTAGTACATCTACATACATTATATATTATTATTATATTAATGATATGTTCATAATATTATTATTATTATATAAACATTAATATTATAATTTTATCTTATTTTAATATTTTTAAAATTTTATAATTTAGAAGTTATTTTTATGAGTAATTATTTATTTGATAATGAATGCATTAGTTTTACTTTTATCACGGATATGGTCCCTCTTAATAACACCGTTAATTAAAATATGTTAGTTTAAGGACCTTAATCATTTATTTATGTAAATCATAGGGACCAAATTTTCATTTATCTCAAGATCATTATATAAATATAAGATTTGATTAAATTTCAGATTATTTTGACTAGTTACAATATTAGACCCGAGATGACGCTAAAGATATGATGATTTGAAAAATGAATGAGATATTTATAAAATGACTTAAAAAACGTAATCCCTTTTACCAAAGGTGGTATTTCAAATTTTTTGGGTTATTTTAATTTTTTTAAAATGATGTAATTGAAAAATTATGAATGAAATCGTGCACTCACAGAGTCATAGTTATTTACCAAAAAAATTCATCGTTACATATATTTTTTAACAAATAAATCATCGGACTTTTAAAATTGAAGCGATTGAAAAGTGTGAAACACCGAGAACTCTGTTTGATGTAAGGAGCTTCCATGGTCTAACAGGCTATTACCGTAAATTCATTAAAACTTTTCTCAAGTCGTGGTACTTTTGACCTCTTTACAAAGAAAAATGTGAAGCTCGAATGGAAGGACGTGCAAAAAGAAGCTTTTATGACACTAAAGGAAAATAAAACCCATTTTATTATTACTGGAAATGTCACAAGTCGGCTTTATGCAAAAAAGAAAGGTTATAGCTTATGCCTCACGACAATTGAAGGATCACGAAAAGAGATATCCCACTCACGACGTAGAATTGGCGCTGGTGATTTTGGCATTATAGGTATGGACACTATCTGTGTGTTGTGAAATTCCAAATCTTTACCAATCATAAAAGTCTCAAATACCTATTCGATCAAAAGGACTTGAACATGAGACAACACCGTTGGATGGAAGTGTTATGTGATTTTGATTGTGAGATACTGCATCACCCGAGCAAAGCTAACGTTGTAGCCGATGCATTAAGCCGAAGGGGAGGCGAAGAGATCACCAAAGTAGTGGCCTTGAGAGTAGAATTGATACCTAATAAAATCGAGGGAGAATGCTTGAAAGGTACATAAATCTCGTTATTCAATCCACCCAAAAACCAACAAAATGTATAAAGATTGCATAAATCTTATTGGGGGCGTGGCATGAAAAAGGATATAGCTTATTATGTGGAGCGGTATCTGACGTGTCTACAAGTAAAAGTGAAGCACCAACGACAGTATGGAAAATTACAACCACTATACATATCGTAGCAGAAGTGGGATCAGATTACAATGGACATTGTGTCTAAGTTAAAATCCAAAGGGGTACGACGCTATTTAGGTAATAGCGGATCGACTCTTGAAGTCGACACACTTTTTACCTATTAAAGAGACTTATTCGATGGAGAGATTAGAGATACTTTATGTCAATGGGATTATGGGAAGACGTGGAGTATCTTTAGAGATTGTGTCTGATCGTGACAACCAGTTTACATCATCCTTTTGGATAAGTTTTCAGCAAGAGGGATCACAAATAAAGTTGACTACATCTTACCACCCGTAGACTGACAGTCAAAATGAAATAGCCATTCAGACACGTGAAGACATGTTGCAGGCATGTGCTATTGACTACAACGATAAATAATAATGCAAAAAGGTATAAAGTTAGAGAAAAGAGACAAACAAACACATTGATATAGAGTAGTTCACGTACTTATCTGAAATCATTAATTTTAAGACATGCTGACTCACTATGAGTTACACTTTGATTATATAACAAAACCCATTGTACAAAGTATAGGTACGCACACTTCCTTTTAATAAGAGCTTGAGGGGATCATAAACACATTCAAAGTACAGATTCATTACAAGGATATATATGAAAATCAGTGAAGGAACACAAACGATTTGAACATAAAATTGGACGACTGTTTGTGATTTAGATACTCTCAAATATAATGTAACAAGGCTAAAATTTCATAAAGTAGAATTGTGTCAAAAGTCCTTTTAAATAACGGTCAAATCCCCTTTTTATAGTCCAAAAACAAATATGCCACACAAGATCGCAAACACTCAAATTATTTTGGATGTACGTTGAATTGGTCCTCCCGTAAATGTCCAAACCAATCAGTTATGAGTAGCACTACTTAATGAAGACTTTTACCTACATATTTTATATTTGGGAAATCCGTTGCCAAAGGATGATTCTTCACAAAACTCGTTATAAAAGTTGGTGTCTAAATTGTTGGTGGGTAATTCAAACAGTGACAAACTACCCAGATATTTTCAGGTGATCCGTTGGTATTTGTTTGAAAAATACCGCATTCTACTGAAACATTGGTATTTTTTATATGATCCGTGGATAAACACCGACAAATTTTTTCCCACATGAATTTTGTGGATAAAAGTCATGGATTTTGTAGTGAATATGACATTAGCTATTCAATAAAAAAAAATACTAAATTACTCTTTTTGATACGAACGTTGAAAACAGACTTAAATCATATTTCTGAACACTTTTTACTTAAAAAATTTAATAGGTTTATGATATACAAAAGCCAAGAATGAGTTTCCCTTGGGTTATAAAATCACATATTTGCAATATCCCATCAACTTTGCTAAAAGCATAAAATCACATATTTGCAATATCCCGTCAACTTTGCTAAAAGTATACAAAAGATTAGTACGGTAACATAACTAAAGTTAATTCTTTTTTTATTTTATTTTTTAAATACGGGTTTAAAGCGACTCTTCTTTTAAGATATGAAACGTCATGTTTTTCGAGTCTATTCGTGCATCTTGCATTTTTGTGCACTTGCATGGTTTCTCTATAATAAGATATTTGCGGTTTCCACACCACGATTTCGTAATTGAACACAAATTGGATGTTCATTACATATAGATAATTATTTCCAACACACCAAGTAGCATATCAGTACATAAAGCAACTTGGGTGTTTGTCAATCATCAAAACTCACATGATTATCAAGTGAGTATAATTTGCGAAATTAATGAACTAATCTGTGTTCTTGCACATCCAATCACAATCTTATAGGGAATTATGACGTATATCGGAGTTTGGTGAGTTCATTGAGCCCATTAGTTATTCATTTAGTAGAGCAACTTTCATTATGAGCCAATCGCTACAAGCTTATGACAGGTTGTTTTCACGTTGTTTTGCTACGTCAATAAGTAAAGGCGTGTTTCGGGGGAGGAGGGGTTGATGGTGGTGGTGGTGGGAACGTTGTGAACTTGTTGGGGAAGTGGTTCAGAGGTAGTTGACGTGCTAGTTTTTGAATCACAAGAATATCAAAAATTCTAAGTTAATCATTTTGGTCGATACAACTGGCATTAAAACAAGAATACAAATAAATTATATATAACAATATTTGATGTTAGGTGTTGCTTTTAATGATATGTTGACAAATACTATAAAATAATATATCTTGTGAAATTCAAATAGTTATTAGAACAAGACAAACAAATGGTACAACAAATATCTCTTTTTCAAACAAAAATACACATATATATAGAGAGAGAGGGGAAGGATCATGTGAAAAGTTAATTAATTTATGAGAAAACGAGAAGTTCCAAGATCATATATGATTATATGTGATACACACACAATCATATATGGTTAAACACACCCAAAGGAGACGCATGTGACCTGGTGAAGCTATGTGTTGACAATGCAACATGTGTTTAATCATATATGATTAAACGTTTGTATGTAATCATATATGATATTGAAACTTTTCACATTCTCGTAAATTGACCACCTTATTGTTTGTATTTGATCATATATATATATATATATATATATA